TGGGGAATAAAACAAGGGAAACTAATACTTATTTACTGCACAACTTAAAACATTAGAAAAGCTGAAAATAAAGTTGTTTCATTACTGTGTAGAAAACTTACTAAGAACAGTTTGAATGGCGCTTGCCTTATTTTCATATAGCTTACAATGCGGAGTGAGATATTTTCTAGGCTTGGCAAATCGGCATATACCTTTCAGCACAGATCAGTTTCAAACATGTTATCTTTAGATTTTCAAAGTCATAAAAACTTTCCAATAAGTTTTCAAATGTGAATTTTTTTTTTTTTTTTTTACCAGCATCACTTCCTTTGAGATCTTTTAAAATTTTTTGTCACAACAAATTTCCTCATTTATGTAAATAATATTTGTCTTCATTAATTCACTTCTTCGGTCTCTTGAATGGTGGCAATGTCAACTCTTTCTTCTATAATTCTGCTTACATTGCATTAAAATTTCATTCCCAGCATTATCACTTTTAGTCTCTCTGTTGCATCTCCATGTAGGCTGGCCAATTTCCTTTTCATTTATCCAGTTTTGCAAAATGCCACATGATTTTACCACTGGAAGATAGGGAGGCCACTTAACGACATGCTTTCCTGCCTATGCCTGACCCGAATAACAGACACATGACCGATCACTGACAAAATTGGAAAGAAGTGGCATAATTGGTCACTGGTTACACTGCACATTTGTTAATTGTGCAGCAATTTGTGGACTCAACACCTAGTAGCAAATTTTGTACTCTTATGCAATTATTTGACGTTCATACAAAAATTGAAACTTGAGCCAGGTTGTTGGAAGACTGGTGTGAGTTAACTAAATCATGGCAACTTGAATTTATACATATTCGTAAATGATTTTCAAATAGTCACCTCCACTATTCATGAAAATTATGTTTTTCTTTTACATATAATTTATAAATCTTACCTGTTCCTATAGTCCCCCCCCCCAAACCCCCCACTTTCTTGATTTTGACTTAGGGAATTAGGCAGGGTTTAGTCCATTATCAGCACATTTATATTTGTTGTTTACCTCCTTTTCCCTCCTCTCTCTCTCTCACCTCTCTTTTTAGATCTTCTTAAGCTATAGGCCAGGGTTCACAAAAACATTTACCTCTACAGGGCAGGTCAGTAATAGAATTCAGTGCTGTAGGGAAGGGACTTTTGGCTTCTGAAGGACCCGTGCTTCTTGCAATGGACCGAGCATCTTCTTGGCTCCAAAAGAAATTCTTGCCCTGCCAGATGGAAATCTCAGTCCTCCTAAATTTTTGGATTTTTTTCAAGAGGGAGTAAATTTTTTCTTTTAAAAATGTAGCCTTTTAGGCAGTTCTTCAAACAATTAAAGACAAAATGATATGATCCAGCAATTCTAGTTCCAGATTTATACTCAAAACATTGAAAATAGCCACTCAAGCAGATTATTACACAGCAATGTTCATGGCAGCGTTATTCTAAATAGCCAGAAAGGTGAAAACAACCCAAATGCCCTGACTGCTGACAAATGTCCTGACAAAATGTGGTCGAAACATACATTGAAAATAATATTATTCACCCGTAAAAAGAAAGGAAATGCTGACATGGATGCATCTTGAAAAATTATACTGAGTTAAATAAGCCAGTCACAAAAGAATACACACTGTACGAGTTCACCCATATGAGGTACTTAGTCGAATTGATTGAAATGGTAAGTAAAATGGTGGTTGCCAGGGGCTGGAAAGAGGGGAGTACTGGAGTTACCATCTCATGGGTAAAGAATTTTATTTTGCACGTTTTGCAAACACTGTCACTGAACTATATACTTAAAAATGATTCAAACATTTATGTGTGTATGAAAAAACCACCACATGTCTTATTGTAGCCCTGGCGGGTGTGGCTCAGCTGGCTGGGCATTGTCCTGTGCATTGAAAGGTGGCAAGTTCCATTCCTGGTCAGGACACATGCCCTGATTGCAGGCTTGATCCCCTGTAAGGGGCGGGGGTTGGGGGTGCAGGAGGCAGAGGATCTGTTTCGCTCCCACATTGATGTCACTCCCTGTCTTTTCCTCTCCCTTCTTCCCTCTTTAAAAATCAATAAAAGATTTTTTTTAAGTGGTAGAAAATGATTTATTTTAAAATACTGGCATTTCACTCAATTTAATTATGTGTGGGCCCCTAACCGGTTTGGCTCAGTTTTTTTGTTACTAATGTTGTGGCCCCACCCCATAACAAAGAAACAGAATTTCCGGAGGATGAGGCCCAGAAATCAGGATTTTAAAAAGATTCCCAGGTGATTCTAATGTGCAGCCAAGGTTGGGAACCCTGTCATAGATAGATCAGTCTAAAATCCAAACACAACATATCCTTTTTTAGCAGAATTTCCTTGGTAGATTTGAAAAATGCTTATGGCCACCTCAAGATGACGCTTTTGAGGAAAGTGAGACAGAAGACAGTTCTCAGTGGAAAGAGATATTTATCTTAACCATCTGGGTGTGTGTGTGGGGGGGTTAATCTGAATTAAAAACATATTGAAATTCTGCGGGAGCAGTACAACAAAAGAAAAATGGAGAGAGAAAAAAGACACGAAGGCAAAGGGTAAAATGTGATTTAATTAGCAAAGCTGAAGCTATAGATGAAATAATTTTACTAGGATATTAAGATGCAGACACTGATATAAAATAGGAACAGAGCCAACAGGAATTATACTGCTACAGGATCTTTGGGTCAGAAAAAATGTTACATTTGAAAGAGGGGGAGAGGGAAGAAATAAAGAGATAGCTATGTGCACAGAGAAAAATGTATTTACTGAACACTCACAATAAAGTAGATAGAGATTCTGAAACAGAAGGTCAGAGCGATGAAGCAATGGTAACAGGACAGGGAATATATGGACATAAATGATTACTTGGCAAAGAAGAAATATCAGATTTAAGCACTAAAGGAACAATATATAACAAGGAGGTCCTCAGAAGAGGAAGAGATACATGGAATGAGGAAGACTGACTTGCCAACTGCATATGCCATCTGTTAACATGTCAGTGTGTCATAAAGTAAAACAGCACAAACACTAATGAACTGACTTAAAAAACATCGACCTGTGACACCTGATGATGCATAGATAATTGAATATTTTGTAATTGACAAATCAAGCAGAATTAGTTGAAGGCCTAAGAATTCAAACTGTTGACAAAACATATAAGTCCTATGGAGAGATGCTATTCAGACTACTATTTTACAATACAGTGTCTTTATATTATTTATTAACAAACATTTCATGTTATGGCCAATATACTAAAATAAAGATCTTGGAAAAAAGGTAAAGGGTTGACATTATAATACTAAGGTTTGAGGATGCCTTAAATTATGTACCGTCCCTCATTGATAGAAAATTATGCAAATATTTATAAAATCGTAGTAGAAAGTATAGAAGATAATAAGCTTTGACCAAAAATGTCTACTGCAAATTTCAACATCATGAACTTAGTAATTAAGTTTTTTCTTCCTTGCTGTTTCTTATAATAGGATTTATTTTGTCACAGAAAGAGCAATAGTATTTGGGGTTCTGGAAATGATCTCAAGATACTTTTGCTCTAACAGGATTTGAACATTTTTTTCCAGTATCGATGACATAAAGGCAATATCCACTAAAAGGAAATCAAACCGTAATTATCCCACTTAGCCATAGAGTTGAGAGACAACCCCTGCATCTAGGGATCTCCATTTTCCCTTTTGCTTGATGTTGTGGCACACTATTTCTCCTATCTTTAGATCCTCTTGAAACTTCATACTAGGTAGACAGATGAGATGATCCAGGCTTTTGTTTACTCAAAAAGCAGACAATGACTAACGAGATATTTTTAAGACGTTGTAAATGAGTAGTTACTGAATCTATTTAGTATAGAGTCAAATTACTTATAGTCCATTCTAATGAAAAAAAAACAACTTACCTGAGTTTATATCTGAAATTATGTATTTTCATGATTTTAGTGTAATGATGCTGTATTGATGACCTTCTATGTAGTTTTTGTCGAGAGTTAGATGGTAAAGGGTACAAAGATACATTATTTTAGCATGCCTATGCCAAAGCACAATGATTTCAATATTTTGGTACTGCTTAAAACTTTTGATTTAGATCATGGAGATCAAGGTTATTATAAACTGAACTTGAATGTTATAAATTGTAAAACAGGTATTTTTCTATTCTTCCTTTTCTTATAACATGTTTAAAGACACCAGTTTAATAGAAAATTTGCAAAGATCACTTTCTTGTTTTAGTTATGAAGTAGGATTAAAAAATAAATAAGCATAAAAAATATTTGACTATAATAAAGATAAAACTTTGTCTATAGTCGCCTATTAGATTAAATATCAGATTTGAAATGCAGAGTTTTAAGAACTATAAGTAAGCAGAAAACTTGGCCTTTATATTTCACTGTCTTTAGGGATAATTTGAGTATTGGTTATGTAATTGTATGTGAAAAACTCTCAAAAAAAATCAGAGCATTCGGGAATTTACCCACATATTCAAGCATTAATCAATTTGCAATCTTTTTATAACATAAATTTTGATTATAATTGCTAGCAACTGCTCCATCTGCGTCTGTATTTGTGTGGTCTAGTATGTCAGGTAGTAATTAAAATAATTTTCCTTGAGTTTGGTATTGGAGGCTCTATGTATTTTTGATTTATTTTAAATATTTTTATTGACTTTTAGAGCGAGATAGAGAAAAAGAATTGATGTGACAGAAAAACATCAACCTGCTGCCTCTGATCGTCCCCTACCAGGGATAGAGTCTGCGACCCGGGAATTGAACCAGGGACCTCCTGATGCAGGGAAGATGCTCAACCAACCGAGTCACATCAGCTAGGGCTATGTGTGAGTGTGTGAGTGTGTGAGTGTGTGTGTGTGTGTGTGTGTGTGTGTGTGTTTTGTTTTTAATTAACACAGGTTATTGATTTTATGTTATTGGCATCTGTTCTCAGGAAATATAGTCATAAACAAAATGTTTCAAATTAGGCCCTAACTGGTTTGGCTCAGTGGATAGAGCGTCAGCCTGCGGACTGAAGGGTCCCAGGTGCGATTCCAGTCAAGGGCATGTACCTTGGTTGCGGGCACATCCCCAGTAGGCAGTGTGCAGGAGACAGCTGAATTGATGTTTCTCTCGCATCAATATTTCTAACTCTCTATCCCTCTACCTTTCTCTCTGTAAAAGAACAATAAAATATATTTTTAAAAAATGTTTTAAATTAGTAAAGAAAACGATACAAAAGTTAACTTCTAATAAGATAAGGTAAAGTTCAAAAAAGTAAATAGTGTATAGTACATGAAATTTTCTTTCTTTCTCTTTTTTCTTCCTTTTTCTTTCATTGTTTTTCTCTTTTTTTCTTTGATTATTTCTTTCATTCCTAAGCATTGCTATAATCTGAATTTTCTAATAGGGATATGCCTCTAGGGAATCCTATATAATAAAAGCCTAATATGCTAAGTGTTCAACTGTTCATTCAACCATTTGACCAGTAGCTATGCTGGACACTGACCACCAAGGGGCAGATATTCTGACCAGTAGGTTAGCTAGCTGCTGTAGTCCAGCTGATCAGGACTGGGTGAAATGGGCCAGACACGCCCTGGAGCCAATCTCCCAAAGTCCCTCCCTGGCCTCTAAAATAGTTCTTATAATTAATTTCCTTTCAATGTGCATGAATCCGTGCATTGGGCCTCTAGTAGATACATAAGATAGGAGGATTTTAGTGTGGGGGGAAAAAAAACACCACTTGAATATAAATTTCCTTTATAGGAATATCTGTTCAAAAGGAATGCCAGAACATAATAAATGAAAGTATTACTCACAATGATATACATATAACTTTTGGCCATAAGATATTTCAGAGGTTATTTTGCTTTCATTACAGGTTTGCTGACCATTCATTACTAAAATCCAATGATCATTTTTAAAAAATTATCTTTATTGCTGAAAATATTATAGATGCCCCCTCTTATTCCCCTCTTGACTCCTTCTACCCCGCTCAGCCCTTGCCCCAGGCCTTCATAGCACTATTATCTAGGGTTAATTTTAACTAAGAAATCTATTTAATTCAAATGAAAATTCATTGCTAATTTATTCCTCATTATGTTTTACTTTAGCATATTATAAAGCATGATATTTTATTTATAGAAAAGGTTTAATATGACTATGTTTATGGAACAGTTCACTTCTAATCTATTGAAAGCATCAACTCAATAACAGTCATGGAACATACAACATGTACCATCAACTGCATTTGGCATTGAGACTATACCGCTGCACAAAAATGGTATATTTCTGGACTACATGGTACTGGAAAGAGTCTAACATGGATAGAGTAGATAGAGAATATTTAATAAAGTAAAAGAAAAATGAACTGGATATTGAAGAATTAAAATGATTCTATCTATAGAGAATGAGAATGCTGTTTGGGAAAAAAAAAAAGGAAAAAAGAAGAATGATATCATCAAGATGGTTATAACATATGTTCCTGACTTCAGTCCCCGTCACAGGAAGACTGACTATCAGCTATCCATAAACAAGCCAAATTGTGAAAATCAGAACCTGGGGGTGAGTCTGAAGCATCCCTGGACCACAGAGACCTAGAAGGACTGCGTTAAAGAGGTAAGAGGGGGAGCTGTACTGCCCACACTGTCCTTGCCCAGGCTGGCACAGTACCCACAGAGAGGGCCCCACTGGCCCTATGGTCTTTTCCGTAGGAAACTGAGCCCATGGTGGACACCCAGCTTTCCCAGCATTGCAGGGCACTTCTCAGGTGGCACACTTCCTCACAGGATCACTGGGGAATCTGCCAGGTTTCACCACTGAGGATCAGAATGAAACAAAGAAGGCTGTGGGGATTACAGCAACCAGCACACACATCTTGGCAGACCCTATCCTCCTTGAAGACATATGAGCTGAAAGCCCATTCACTGACTTCCCCCTTGCAGCGCAATGCCTGCAACCCTGTCTGCTGGCCTCTACCTGGCGCAGGTCACCGGCCAGCAGGTCCTCCAGGTATTAAAGCCTGTACTCTCCTCTCCAATCCTGCCCAGCCAAGAAGCCTAATCAGAGAATCCCTGTAGCCATGGAGTTCATCCCACAGCAGAGAAGCCAAGCTGGCAGCTCTGCCCAACTGCGGCATACACCTTTCCACCCCATATAACAAGGGAATCTTAGCAGTCACCCTGGATAGCCTTGGAACCTGCCTGCAGTACCGCCCAGCTGCGGAGTCCAGCCTACAGCCTTGCTTGATTGTGAATATAGCCCGCAGCCTTGCTCAGGCAGGGCGCCCAGCCAGTGAGACAGCCTATCCCCACCTGATGAGGGAGCCTGGACAGTGACCATGCCCAAACACAGAGTGCTGTCTCTAGCCCCACCCAATGCTGCCTACAGCTGGAGGCCCCTGGCAGCCAAAGAGCCCAGCTAGTGACCTTGTGCACAGGGAACAGGAACCAGCATTCTACCCAATCAAGAGCCCAGGCTGCAGCCCGCCCTGCACTGGAGGAAGACTTCTAAGATTTGTATTTGCCCTTAACAAGTAATCATATGGAAGCTGTGCACTAAATTTAGAGCAAGGGAGCATCTAAAGAAGTCTGCATTTTTACAAAGCCTCTTTTCTCTCTTTCCCCCGCCTCTAGTCTCAGACAGTGTTTTAGCTATCTCCTGGGGTATTTTTATTCCAAAAACATGATGAGATTTACATCTTGAAGAGAACAGAGAAAGAGTGCAAGTTTTCTCCTAGGAGTCATGGGGGTGTATGTCTTCATTATCAAAAGCTTAGGGCAGCTACTATTTAAGTTTTTCCTTTGTATTAGGGGTCAGAGGGAATGGGCGCTTCATTCATTTCACTGTCAATCACCATAACAACCTTGCCTTCACTCTCTTCTCTCAGCCAAGAATTCTACCTCTTAGGGAAAAGCACTTCACATGGCAAAATGCAAAGAGTGGTTTCAAAGATAATTCGATGCATATCAAGACAGAAAAAGCTGCGTTTTACGCATGATACTTAACAAAAGCCTATTTCTAATAGTAACAAAGAAAAGAAATATGATTATCAAATCCAATATTTCCACCAGATATTGAAAAGACATTATTATGCAATCGATAAACATGTGTCAAAATCAACATGTTGTCAGGATCTGTAATTGCATTAGAATTGATTAAACTTATCTAAGAAAATTCTCTTCCAAAATTATATGACAATATTATATCCAACTGCGTATTCAATATACAATTGTGCAGAGGTATAAAGCAACCATCTTACTTATCCTACATAAAATGATCAATCTGAAAAAGGATTCAGGATTTTCCTTTACAAAGTTATCGGGAGTCAATATAAAAAGAGTTTAAAAATGCATCTGAAAGTAATGTCCAAAAGAACTGAAGAATAAAAATGCAATAATTGAATTTATTCACAAAATAAGTTAGATGTGAAACTTTCAAAAAGAAGTATTGTACTTTGAACATTGATGAGAGCAAAGTTGGGAAAATAAATACCACTGGATCTAGTGAAGTAGAAAAAATAATCTACCCAAGTAACAGAGAAAAACAGTGTCAAATTTCAGAGAAATGCAGCATGGGTAACCAGATCTTCATCAAAATCAATATATGTGTGTGTGATGAAGTGCCTATGAAAATGAAAAATCCATTTTTCAAACTTTCCATTTTACTATTCATGATTTATGAGTAAAAAGGTTGGTTAACAACGCGTGCCTCAACAACAACAAAAGGTATGTCTTATTCTTGTTGTTCTTCAGACAAAGTACTATAGAAACAAATCATCACATACATCATATTTTTTAAATAAATCAAGGAACAGCAAGTGATACAACTATGTATAAAATAAAATATGAGAAAACTAAATAACTGAAGGACAAGCAATGCACCTGTTATGTGATGACTTGTGTCCCTCCGAAAATTTTATGTTGAAATCTCGACCCTCAGAAATATGGAATGTAACTATTTGCAGATAGGTCCTTTAGAGATAATGAAGTTAAAATGAAGTCATTAAGGTGGTCCCTAGTACAATGGGACCAGTACCCTTATAGAAAGAGGACACAGGCATGTTATAGAAGGAAGACCATGTGAAGACACAGGGTAATGTCTTGTGGCAACCCTAGCAAACTAATGCAAAACGCTACTTTGTTATGGTAACCCTAGAAGATGAATGCAAAATCTATCATCGATGTTTTCAAGAGAAGTTTCTACCTACAAAAGAGCACACCATAGTCAGATTAACTAAAAAAAAAAACAAAAACTACCCTAAGTACATACATTATGGTGAGAGATGAAGTGGATGATAGTTCTGCCTATGTATGTCACCCAATAAGAAATGAGTAAAGAAATGGCTTCTTTCATGGTAGTCTAAAAACTGCTTTTTAAAGCAAATAATCTTACTGTAAAACAACTTATACAGGACAAGTTATTTAGCAAATGTCAACATTTCTAAATGACAAAAGTACAGTCAAAAATTTTATACAGATTTAAATTAATTCTTGTAAATATTAACTTTGTATGAACATATTCATTTTATTGGTGATGATAATATGTTATTTCTACTCAATGAATCAAACATTGAAAGATCAGGAATTGAATTGAATTTCATCAAAAGGCCTGATCTCGCATTTTAAATACAACTATATATAAATTTGGCAGCTTCTTATTTTTCTCATTCTTTCTTTTGTTTATTTATTTTTGTTTTTTAAACAAGATTGGGTGCTTGGCACACTAGTTTGAAAGAAAAATAAAGGAGGTAAAATGAACTTATTGTCATGTGCTCACATTTAGGAATCATATTTTATTGAGATGTTCCCAGATGACAGAATACCTGAAGGTGTATAAAGATTTCAGAAAGAAAAAAAAAGAAAAAGAAAGAAAGAAAGGAAACAGTTGTTTTTAAAACAGCATGAGCAGTATGTAAATCTGAAATGTTCCTACTTTAAATATGAAATTTCATATTCAGGAAAATTACAGCTGAGACACTTAAAACTCAGTAAGTGTCAATAGAAATGTATTTAAGCTTCCCTGTACTAAGTCAAAATAGATATGCATTTGTTAAGTAAAAGAAAAGCCCAAGTATACCCCAGAATTTAATTCAAAAATAAAATTTAAGGATATATATGTGAATGCTGCTTGCATAATTCTGGTTAAAATACTTACTGGAAGTCAGAGTTTAATGTGCTTTATAAAACTGTGTCATTTGCTTGCCTTGTGCTATGAGCAAAATTATTTAAACACTCTGTGTCCCATTTCTCAATCAGTACAACCTCCTTTTGCCACACGACACCGGGGTCAGGATATTATGCTATCATAAAAGCTCATATCCATTCTATATTTGACTTGAACTCTTTGATAATTTTTTTCACCTTCCCTCACTGTCTTCAGACAAGGAGATTGAAGCTAAATGACTTATTCAAGGGCACTAGGCCAGCCAGCATTATGCTATTGATTTAGATTAATAGTCTTTATTTTCCCAGTTGGATTGACCCCCTGGGCCTTGCCAATTCTAATTCCATTTCCATAAAATAGGGATAGCACCACTTAACACCGAGATCAATTGAGTATCTCTGTAATTATTCTCTTATGCATGCAAAGTACTTGGAGCTCAGAAGTAAAGTGCAGTCTTTCAAACTGTAAGGTGCTTAGAACAGAGAAGAGATAGCTGGAGAGAAATTAGAACTCCGAAATTTCAGATGGGTGGACATTTGGCAGAGAATTAGATTTATCCCCTGTTGTTTCAGATACTGACTTTTTTTTGGGGGGGTGGGATTGGTTTTTTTTTGTTGTTTTTTGTTTACTAACATTTAAGCTTCCGCATATTATTTCAATAGATATATTTTGGGAGATTGAGCTCTTATTCAATAAAATGTTTTGACCACTTAATTTTACAGTTCAACACCCTTTCTTAGCAATCCAAACCCTCTTATCTTATTCTATTTTTCCTTGCATTTTTCAAATTACTTTTTAATTATTTGATAATCACTTTTTTTGCATTTCTTGATATTTTAAAATTAGTTTTATTTTTTTATTTTCTACCAACCCTCTTCCTCTAATCATTTACTTATCTACAAATCCATAGGGCAGGAATGTTTGTTGTTGTTATTGTGATGGTAGTGGTGGTGGTTACTATATTATTATTATCACATTTGATGGGTACATCTTAAATTTCTATACAATTGCTGGCCATGTTGGCACAGATCACAGGGTTAATAAAGTTCCATCATAATCAGATCTTTTGATCTCCAGACCAGTGATTTTCCTGTTTATTCTACAAATCATTATCTATCATCTATCTATCTATCTATCTATCTATCTATCTATCTATCTACCTATCTATCATCATCTATCTATTATTTATCTACCTATCATCTATCTACCTATATTTATTTCTGGTTAAAATGATTTCTTCTCACCTCTTTTTTTACATGTCTTCTTTCATTTTGTTTGTGTGTGTGTGTGTGTGTGTGAGAGTGTAATTTGTTCCTAAAATAGAAAATTTCCTGCAGAATTTAAACAGCAGTTTGGAAAAATACTATGTCAATTAAAATGTTTAGCACTCAGAAATGCAATATGATTGTCCTAAGCTAGCAAATTGTGTATCAACGTTTTTGTTTCCTCTCATTGACTAACTAATCTCAGCTTAAATCCCAGTTGTGATAATTAGCTCAAATAATGTGTTAGTAGCATTCACATTGCACTGCAAGACATATTTCAACTTTTACTTTTAGTATAACCTCCACCGTGGCTCATATATTACCATAAAATAGGTTTTGCTTTTGTGCAAAATTAGATATTGTTTCCCAAAAGGGAAAAGTGTTTTGCACATAAGTTGTAATTGGCCAATAGGAGATTCTTTTTCAAATATAGTGCCAAACATTATACTATGCCCAGCAAAAGCTTAGCACCCAACTACCAACTGCTCACTTACAAGTGCTTTGCAAATATATAAATTTATTGTTATGACATCCCCAGGAGAAGTTGGTTAAGTAATTCAGAAATTCTAAAACTTGAATAAAATCTCTATCTAAATCTAACAAAAAAGCACTTTGCTGTGTTGAGTATATTTCATACTTAGAGATTTAGATCTGTTGCTATAAAATTTATCTAGAGTAATAAAAATTATGGTGTTTTGGAGTTGGCAAATCATTGTGTTAAGATTTTCTTCTATTATTTACCCTAGCAAGTTTTATAAAACAATCTCTCCATGCTATATGTATCATCCTATCTTCATAAGCTTTTTTTTCTAAATTTCAGTGAAAATAATAGACTTTTAGAAAGACTTTAATTTTCTATTCTTTAAACAGTCACTTTTGTCTTTACCACTGCAATTCAAGAACTAATATGATGTTACTAAGTGTTGTTACAATATACACTTACAACATTGTTTTTAAGTATCTGCATGACCTATGTTATAATACAATGCACAATCTACATTATACCTAATTTCAAATCAGTGTTATATATTGTACATTATTTTAAGTGCACATACAACACTGTATTGAAATTGTATAACAATATGATAGCCTGTAATATATCAATACCTATGTGATACCTGTGTTAAATATGATAATACTTGGTGCTTCACATAAATGAAAATCTTGTTTAATAAATATTTTCCATGAAGAAACAAAGAATCAATTCTATTTGGAATATTTTAAAGAGTAGAAAGCAATCCAGCCTTTCAGTGCCTTACCTTTAGGAGTTTAAAGTTGTTCCTCTTTTAATAGGAACACTTGAATTACTATTTTAAAAATTAATCTCTTAGATTTTACACATAAGTAGTCTTTACAAGTATTTCTGAAAAAGCAAGAAAACAAATAAAATTTATAGGACCATTTAGGATTTTGCTTCATTAAAGATGCTACTTTAAAATAGGTTGGTAATTTTTTTTTCCATTTTTAGATTTAAAAATTAACAACAGCCACTCTTTAGCTTATGCTTTATGTAAAGTTACAGAAGATATTGTGATAGCATTCAAATGAATGAGATAAGCTAAATTTAAAAATTATATTACAGCCCTGGCCAGTGTGTTCAGTGGTTAGAGTGTAGGCACACATACTGAAGGATCACAGGTTCGATTCCTGGTCAAGGACATGTGCCTAGGTTGCAAGTTTGCTCTCCCCTCTGCCCCTGAGTCAGAGATCCCATGGGAGGCAACCAGTCGATGTGTCCCACTCACATCGATGTTTCTCTTTCTCTCCCCTCAACATGCCCATCCTTCCATTCTCTCTGAAAAGCAGTGGAAAAAATATCCTCAGGGGAGGATTAACAAAAAATTTTACTTTACATAAGCAACAAGATAAATTTATTAACTTTATAAGGTTTAAAGTGTTGAGTTCACATTCATATTGGCATTAAAATATCCAAATATAGACAGTCCCTTCCTTAGTGTTTGCCACATACACTGTCAGCAGACTAATCCACTCCTTACTGTCCTTCTTTCCTGTGACAGAATTGATTCACTCAACACACCTGTGTTGGGTACCTGTGATTCTCTAGCTAGTTCCTCAAGGGCTCTTCTAGGAAGTTAACTCCTGCCTGATTTTCATTCCTTCCCTACCTAAAACTTTCAACTTGAACAACTATATTTCATTTATTTTATCAAACAAACATCTCCCCTTTGGGGAACTACAAGTATATCCTAAGTGTATTCCCACTTAGCTTTATTCATTCGCGTCCTGCATAATCTAACCTTGCTCTCTTTTTAGCTACAGCACTTGGCTTTGTAGTTTTGTTGTCACTTAATGTATTTTAGTTGTTTGTCCTACAATTAATTATCTTGTCAAACTGCTCTGAGTTTTTCATAAACTCCAGTCCTGGATCATCATTGGTTCCAAGTGTGTGGTGTTTTCTTTCTTTCCTAATTAGTTACGCATACCACATCTCTCTCATGTATGCTGTACCTTTAATCGATGTTTTCCATGATCACACTTCCTGATCACACTTCGGTGTCATATCACCGAATTATTACAGAAACTACCCACCGCATGGTCCTACTGACTCTTCTACATGATGAGTAGGTTCTCATTACAAACCCAAATGTCAGCACTCCGTCATCTCCATGGCACTCTGTGGAAGCTTCTAGTACAGAACAGAGGCACAATCGCTTCTACAACAGGCCCTCCCCTCGTGGTTTGTTTTGCTCTTCTGCCCCTGTTGTCTGCTTACCGCCACAGCGTGCTGGGTTTTTCTCTACCTTCAAAAAACATCTGGCCCTTCATGACTTTGCATGTCTGTGCATACTGCTTGTTTGGAAAACCACAAAGATTGAAATAATAAGCCATAACAACATAAATCTTTGAGACACTATAACTTAAATACAGGTCTTTACTGCTAAAATGGATTCCTCACTTTCATCCTGAATAAGGCAATTCTATAGCCTTCAGTCTGCCTGAGCTCCTTTATTTGATGGACACACCAGCAATAATCTATTTCTCAGCTCATGAGGGTACACTGTCCATACCAGAAGTTCTCTCACTTTTTGTTCTCACTTGTTTACATTTTTTGAAAATTACTTAGGTTGCCAAAAAAGTTGGGTTTATATGGGCTTATAAAATATCTATTGATATTTACTAATTAAAACACAAGTGTTTATTAACTTTTTTAAAATAACAATAGACCAATTATATACTACCATTAAAATATTCATGACAATTATCTATATATTTTGAAAAAAGTGACTACCTTCAAAACTGTGAGAGGGATGTCCAATTGCCAGCTTAGGTCTGATCCCGGTGCCATTCTCTGTAGAAGGTAGTCAGTTTGAACAACTCGATGATTCAGGGAAGTGCAGGAAACTCAGGGTGAGCCTGCCTCTGCACCTGACTCACCTACTCAATGGTGTTCACAGGACAGACCATGGTGGCCCAGCCCATGAATGTGCAACAGCTTCTGAAGTTCAAGCAGCAGGCCATGCAGCAGCAGAAGGCCATCCAGCCATAAGGCAACAGTGGGACATCCCCCGAGGGGGCCCAGACTGTGAGAGGGTGCAGGCTGGGCTGAGGGACCAACCTCCGTCCCCCCGTGCAGGTATTTCATGAACCAGGTCTCTAGTTGTTATATATTTTGATATATTGATGCTCAATATGCAGAAGAGTCAAATATGTCTAGATTAGCAGAACCTATATGAATCTGTTTTCTTACCTACTAGTTGATGCTAGTATCTTATAATTATTTTTTCAAAGGATAAAAAATTCATGTGAAATATAAAGGGAGGGAGAGAATTCTCAGAATTCTCAATTCTGAAATGCTAAGACAATCATATCGTCAAACTTCTGCATTCTCTCCTTATTACTCCATGCTAAGGTTTTCACTACCCTATTGATCCCCTGTGCTTGTGGTACAGTTGGCTAGTGGCTGCTTTCTAGAAGGCTGTCTTCTCCTTCCAGATGACTTATTCAGCTTCTGTGATCTCCAGCTCGAGTTTTTAAAATGTCTACATCACTTAGTAACATGGATCTTTACCTCCCTTCTCTCATTGAGGACCTCTGGAAAGCTATATCATTTAAAAAACAAACAAACGGTATTATACTTTGCAAATTATACTGAATACAAATAGATTGAAAATCATAACAGCATACTGTTAGTGGCTAAATTGTTTAAATGTGGGCAATGTATAGGAAGAAATATTTTACACTTCTGTATCCTTTATAGCTGTACATGATATACAAAGCTTATCATTCATATATTTAATAAATACCGGTATATGTGATAGATTTGCTATAATGAGGGCCACAATTAATGGGCACATGTATCCATACAGCAAGATTTTACAATACCTTCCTTCAACAAGTGAAATTTATTTTCCTATTTCTTAAATCTCTGCTGGACTTACGATTTTTTCTAATGGAATACAATGGGTGCTGTGCAAGTTCGGAGATTTATCCTTAAGAGCCTTAAAAACAAAAACAAATTATTCTCCTCCTCCTCCACCACCACCTTCTTCCTCTTTTACTCTCTGTCTCTCTCTTCCTCTTCCCTCTCCTCTCTCTTCCCTTCCTGTATTTCCACCATGAGGAAAAGCTTACACTAAGTTTTGGGAAAGTTTGTTACTAAGCAATAGATAACTAACACAATATTGTTCAAGATTATATGTTTGTTTCTTTTCTATGTATCACTCTCTGGAAATTATTTTTTTGCCTGAGATCTGAGATGAAATTGATTGCATAGTAAAAAATAAATAAACTTTTCAGACTTGAGATACATAAAATTTCAATTTCTTAGCGAATTTCATGTGCAGTTTGTATTAAAGTGTTTTCCTCAGTCAAGGTTATCGATGACTATAGGTGCATAAATCAGGAAAAGCAACAATACACTTGTCACAGAGAAACTGCCTTTATAAATGAATGTTACATGCTAAACTTTTCTTTTTTCAATTCAGCACTGACTTAAAATAATTTATTTTACATATTTTATGGTGCTGTTCTCCTTCTGGCCTCACAGTACACTACATATGGCCCTCATAATTTCTTTAAAATGATGACTAAATAAAATGAGGAGTGGTAGAAAAGTAATTTCCATCACCTTCTTTAATTTCTATTACAATAAAGATAGGGCAATCCTTCATTCATTAAGCCAACAATGTTTCCCCTCTGAACCTGGTGTGGGCTAGGATCCTAACTGGGTGTAAAAGTGGGCGCTGCCATTAGAAAGCTTATAGTAAAGCAGAAGAAGACAGAAACCAACCAAGTAATTGCACCAAGTATACATCATAGGAGGAGCTAGAAAGGAAAATAGTGGGATTAAAATATAAAATGGGGCTGAGGTTGAATATACTTTAGATTGGGATCCATTAAAGTATCCTGTTAAAAGTGACATTTATCCGAGCGTTAAAGGCTGAGTACAGAGGAAATATTTATCAAGTATGGAAAAGAGAACACCAGAGAGAAGAAATAATACACGCAAATGCCTTAAGTTGGGAAACACTTTGTATTTGAAGGAAACAAAAGGCCAGTGTGGCTGATTCCCAGTGGCTGAGAGATAATGATTCCACATTAGGTTGGAGAAGAAAGTGGGAGTTGACTTTGTATGCCCAGAGATACCTGGAGGAGAATTAGCCATTGTATCCTAAGTGCACAATGAGTCAGTGAGGGGATTTAAGAAAGTTGGGGATCTGACTTAATGCATAATTCAGCCTGAGCCTGAAGGTCTGAGAACCAGGGGAGCCCATTTACAAATCCCAGTCCCGCAGTCAAAGGGCTGGAGAAAATGAGCTGCATAGGCACAGCCTCGAAGGCAGGCAGGAACAAAAGGAGCAAAGTTCTTTCCTCCAGCCTTTGTTTAATGCAGACCCTCCCAGGATTGGATGATGTCCACCCACTTTGGGAAGGGTCACCGGCTGTATCGGGTCCTCTGATTCAAGTCCTAATCTTGTCCAGAAACATCTTTGGAGACACTCACAATCTGAGTGCCCTACGGTCAGTCAAGCTGACACATAAGTGAATGATCACAGTATTCAAAGATTATCAAATGAATGCACCTTTGCAACCTGCAGCGATTACTAGAGACCGCCCTCATATCTTCTCCTTGACTTTATCCCACCCTTCCCCTAGAGCTGATCACCCTCTTGATACTCAACACGTTACTTTTGCTCCTTTAAAACTTTATGTAAATAACAGAGACCACCCTCATATCTTCTCCTTGACTTTATCCCGCCCTTCCCCTACAGTGATCACCCTCTTGATACTCAACACATTACTTTTGCTCCTTTAAAACTTTATGTAAATAAAATCACATAGCAAATATCTTGTGTCTGGCTTATTTTTTCTCCCTATGTTTTGCCCGTGCCTGCAGCAGCAGTAGCTTATTTTATTTATTTTCTGTACAATGTTCTGTATTCTTACTATACCTCAATTTATTTATTTAATCTATTATTGATGGTCATTTAGGTTGCATTTGGGTTTTGCTGTAAATCTAATGTTTTGTACATGTTTTATTTTGTTTTGTTTTGCTCCTATGCTCACATTTCTGTTGAATTCTACTAAAGAGAGAAATTGCTAGATGAAAGGGCAATGTGTGTCCAAATTTAGTAGTAATAATGAAACAGTTTCCAAAGCCACCTTCAGGCACCAGGCAGAAGCAACTG